AGACACTGTATTAGATATAAAGCTGTTGGCTTGTTACTAGCATTGCTTATTGGCTAGCTCTGTCTTAAATATTAACCCATTTTTATTAATCTAAGTATTTCCATTGGTCTTGGCTTACCAGAGAGAGGGTTGGGACCTCTGCTCTTTTGTTTCTACATGTTGAATCTCCTACTCCCTACTCCCAAATCTTCCTTGTCTCCTAGTCCCGCCTATCTTACTCTCCTATTGGCCAACAGTGCTTTATTCATTAACCAATAAGAGAAACATATTTACAGAATGACATCTCCCATCACACCTGCGATTGATGTCCTGAGTATATCATGTCCTTTTTCACTGTGAAGATTTCAGTCATTTTTGTTTCAGGGTGCTTTCTTGAATTGTCATTTTTAGTATTTTTTCTATTCCGTTGCTTGCTTCTGTTTTCAGTTACTCATATTACATGTGTCTTAGACCTTTTTTATGTCTTCTTTTATAAAGCTTGCTTTTTCAGATGTCCGCCTGCCTCTCCCCCTCCCTCCTTCCCTTCCTCTCTCAGTTCTTCCTCCCCTGTTCTTCTCCCCACTGCCCATCCTTCTTACTTTGTATAGTCTTTATTATTTTACTCTCACTGCTGTTTTTATTTGCTCTGTGTTCCTTTCAGTTTAATTGTCATATTTTTGGTGATTTATGTATTTTCTACTCTTCTCATTTCTTTGACAAAATATTTACAAGAAGCTACTTTATGGAGAAAGATCTGTGTTGGGCTGGACCTCAGGGAGCACAATCCAATAGGAAAGAGAGGTTTGTTGGGCTGCTGCCTGCTCACACCTCAGTGGATCAGGCAGTAGAAGGGGTGTGGGGCTTAAGTGGCTTCCTTTTTTCACAAAGACTTAACTATCACCTTTATTGGTAGATAATCAATAGCTGTTTATGTCTAATATGGGTGATACTTTGATGTGGTGTGGAATGATTACTACAGTCAAGTTAATTAATACATCTGTGATCTTACACTGACCCTTTTGGTATGTGGTGGCAACACTTATTATCTGGGCCTCAGCAAATCTCACGGTGAGGTTAGTGGCTAATAGTACAGTGTTTTTTGTCCTAGGAGTGGTTTTCACTTCTACTTTGCACCCAAGCTCCTATTGCCACTAAAGGCTCTTCCTAGTCTTCAGTTACTCAGAAGTTTCTCACTAGTTGATCCACAGATTAAACCTACTGATAATCTACCAGGAGCCACACAAATATATCCATGAACTCACTGGATGTGTGGCAATCCCATGATAAATACCACTCCCCCCCCCTTATTTTTGCTAGTGAGAAAATAGTAGTTCAGGCTGTGTAGCTAGGGAGTGCAGGGCCAACAGTCACAGGCAGGTGGGGTGTTTGTTGAGCAGTCTGTCCTGTGTGTTCAAGGTCATAGCTACTAAAGGTTTAGGGACTCCCACTGGGAAAAACATCCTGAGACACCCTGTCCCCACTCTGTTACCCTAAGCTACCAGTACTTCACCAATATATCCATTTGCATGTTTTAAATGTTTACTTTTGTAATTAAAAATGATACTCGTAATTCTTTTCCTAAAATAATTTTCACTTATTTTTGGACAATTTTATGCACATATACAACATATTTCACATATGCCCACCCCATTCGCCTCTCTTAAGCCCCTCCTACTGCTAGAGCCTTTCTCCTATGTATGTGTCTGTTTTAATTTTTTTTTTAAAGTAGCTCATTTAGTTTAATAAGGCTTGCTTGCACGGGTCCCACTTAATTCTTCACACCCAGCACTGGATGAGCTGTGAACTTCCATTGCAAATTGTGATTGATGGGATGGAATTTGCTAGAACATGCTCATTTGTTGATAAAAACAGCAGTTCGTGGATTCAGGGTTGTCCTTGAGTTCAAGCAATTGCTACCTTTGATTTTTCTGAATAAAAGGCAACAGTTTCTATTAATTTTGGCTACATTGCCATCCATAGTTGCCTTGCATGTCAAGAGCATGTGAAGCAGTCACTCAGGGGTGAGGGACATTTTCTGCTTGCTGTTCTTGGGTGGAGCCTTAGCTCTGCTTTAGCTTTTGGGTTTCTCTGGATTGTTTTAGTGGAACACTTAACTAGTGTGGAAAAGACTCGAGTTCCATAACCATCCCTCTCAAATGAAAAAACAAATACAGTAGAAAAAAATTGCTGGAAACCACAGAGTGAAAGTGAATGAGCCCTGGGATGAGAGAGCTCGCAGGCAGACCTTCCCAGATGAGCCTCCTGCCTCACCACCCCCTCCAGTCCACTGCATTCTGTTGAAATAGAGGATGTATGGGCTGTCCTGGCTCTATATATACGCACACGTGTGTGAGAGTGTATGTGTGTGTGTCATGTGCATGAGTGCAATCATGCCTGCCTGCATGTGTGTGTTCATGTGTATTCATGTGCATGAGTGCAATCATGCATGCCTGCACGTGTGTGTTCATGTTTATGTGTTTGACTGCATTCGTGTGTGTGTGTGTGTGTGTGTGTGTGTGTGTGTGTGTGTGTGTGTGTGTGTGTGTTGCTGTCCTAGGATCTCAGAGTAGAGAATTGGAATACCACAGGGTCTGCTGGGAGCCAGGGCCACAATGGCCATGTCAGAACCTGACCTGTTCTGTTCTGAGACCCAGTTGGAAAGACAGTCTCTGTGTCTCTAATGTAGCTAAGCAGAACCTGGAGAAGGGTCTTTCTTTCCTTTCCCTCCCTTGAAGATGAGAAAGTGGGATTCCAGATGACTGACAGCCTGTTAGCTGTCGCTAAAGTAAGCGTGCCTCATTTGGCCATGGCTTATTTGCAGACATTTTAGGAAATAAATCTGGGGAACCATTTGTGCCTTTTCACATCTGACACTGAGAGAGAACATGGCTACACTTGTGATGCACTCCATTTTTTTCTGTTTGGAGAAGCACACAGGCTTGTTGGACAAAAGCCAGAAGCAAAAAAACCAGAAAACCCCCCCCACACACACACACACCATATCTTGCACCCTTCCACCCTCAGCACTCTTCTGGTAAGATCCTCCTAGACTTTTTTTCCTGGTGCATAAGTCAGCAGATGATGGATAGACAAGAAGACATATAAAATAAGTGAGAAAATGAAAATTAAATTGTAATTTCCCTTTTAATCATGAAAGAATATATTGTAAGGAAACTCACATTTGCATCACAGACATGTCTTTCTTGATTTTTTAAGACTTACTTTATGTGTGTGGTTTGCTGGTGTGTATACATTTGTGCACCACATGTGTGCCTGGTGCCTGAGGAGGTCAGAATACAGCATCAGACCCCATGGATCTGGACTTACAGGCTGTTGTGAGCTTCCATTCGGGTGCTGGGAACTGAGTCTGGGTCCTCTGCAAAATCAACAAGTACTTTTAATGGCCGAGCCATCTCTCCAGACCAGGTCTTGGTTTTTGATGTCTGCATGGCTATTGCATAGCCCTGGCAGCATCTGTTTTTGAAGCTGCTCCCTGTTAACACCACTGGTTGTGTTGCAGCTGTTTTCCTTTGGCACTGTACAAAGTGTCATCAGATGCAGGCCTTTGCTGGGTGGCCTGCTGCCTGACAGATAGCAAGCAGTAGTAGAGCTCAGCATGTTCACACATGGTTTGTTTCTGTGCCAAGTGAGAACAGCTTTCTGCCATTGTCCTATGTGTGTGTGTGTGTACATGTGTGTCTGTTATCTCTCTGTGTATATGTATGTATTGTGTGTTTGAGCCAGAGGATTATCCAGGTGTTGCCCTCTGCTGTCTCTGTCTTGATTTGAGGAATACCCACTCACCCTGAGGCCCACCATTTAGCCCCTGATACCTGCCTGTCTCCCTGAAATCCCGGTGCTGGGTTACAGGTGTGTAGAACCATGTGTGGCTTAGGATTTGATGTCATGTCCTTGTGTATGAACCTTAACACTGGGCCCCTTGGCCTTCTTGTTCTCAGTTATCTTCATTGTCCTTGCCATGATAAGTTGAAAATATCCCGTTTTAAGTAGATTTTTAAAATTCCCAACGATTGTGAACACTTTTATACATTTACTATATTTTTTAGTTCTTTGTATGTCCATTTCCATCTCTAACCTTAAATATTTGCAATCATCTACTGGTTCTTAAGAGCTGCTCATACAATATGAACATCAACAATTATTTTAATGTGTTCTCATATATATATATATATACACGATAATATATATATATATACATATATACACATCTATATGAATGATAGGATCCTGCTGTGTAGCTCAGGCTGCCCATAAACTCAGAGCCCTCCTGCCACTGCCTCCTGTGTACTGGGATCACAGATCTAGTCACAGATGTAGTCCAACTTCAATCTCCTGTTGTTTTCCCTGCTCAAGTGAGAGATCCACCCAGCCGCACCTGTGGCACTGACCATGCCTATTTGGGCGTGGTCACAGGTATATAGGTGAGCTTGTGGTATTTGGTCTAGGGTCCAGGACAGGCTTGCTCTCTTGGTTCTGGTCTGGTCATGGAGAGCAGCATGGGTGTGGATCCTTGGAGTGGGAACTTGTGGGTCATTGGTTTCTCATGTAAGTGACTTCTCCCAGAATAAAATATATAACCCATATTTTATCCTCATCCCATGTATTTTAATCTGTTCATCATTACCCCGCTTACTTCACTTTCTCTGATCTTTGCTCTGAGCCTGCCTGTCCCTGAATGGTTTCTGGTTTTGCTGTTGCCTCTGACATGTCTTCTGTTGATGCTCATAATGTCTAGAATGGTCCTAGTTTCCTTGGACTGAACAGACAATTCTAATTTCGTCATACTTAGCTCACATTTCAGGGTCTGTCCTGGTGTACAGTAACACATAGAGGGCCAATTTTCCCCCATTTATCAATTTAATTCAGTATAGGAATCCAATAATCCACCCTTTTCTTGGTTAATTTATCTTGATTTTTATCAAGCAGGCAATGATCAGAAGCAAACAACACAGATTCAGCCTTTGCAATGTGAATAAACCAAAGCGGTCTTGTCTTACTAGAGATCTCAAGGGAGAATCGACAAGTCAAGACTGCCAGGAGGGAACAGCCACTCAACCCTGTGTCATCTGAAGATGTCTGGAAGAACTACTCCTTAGATGATGTGGAAAAGACCTTTTGTCAAGAGGTGAGAGCCAAGTGTCACCACAGGCAAGCTGATAACCACAGGAGCTATCTCCGTGGTTGTGGGTGTGTGTAGGTGTGGGGTGTGAATGTGGGGGTAGGGGGTATGAATGTAGAGATGTGTAGGTATGGGGTGTGAATGCAGAGGTGTAAAGATGTGGGGTGTGAATGTGGGGTATATAGGTTGGCATGTGAATGTGGAAGGTGTGCATGTGTGGGGTGTATATCTAATGGTGTGTGCTTGCTCTATGTGGCCATGTGTGTACATGTGCACAAGCCTATGAGTGTACATGTGGAAGCCAGAGGAAGACATTATCTGTCTTACTGTGTTGCTCTCCACCGATTTTTGAGATAGGATTTGGCTCTGAACCCAAAGCTCTCCATTTTGGCTAGGCTGGCCCATGGGTGAGATCTCAGGGTCTGCCTGTCCCCAGCTGTTGACACTGTGGTTTTAGACACACATGGGTGTGGGCTTTGAACTCAAGTCCTTTTATATTCATAACAAGCACTTTTACCCACTGAGTCATCTCTGCAGCCTGACAAGTTCATTTTAAGCGTGTCCTCTATGCTACTTGCAGGCTAACTTAAGATAAAATACAGAAACCATGTAAAAGAATGGTACAGTTTGGTCATGTGACATAAAAGAAAACTTGACTAAATAAAGAAGCCTCTCCTGAACTCTAGGGGGCATTGGTCATTAATGAGTACACGGAGAGACCCTCTTCTAAACTTGGCTTGGGGCTTAGTCAGAATCTCTGGTCTCTATATTTGGATTATGTATGTGTCTCCTGAGAAATTAAAATTGAGGATCTCTCCTACTACATTTAAATACCTTGTAAAGGAGTAGTAGCCAGGACAGTGGAGAGCTGGTGTAGCCATGCGCTGTCAGAATGGGCTAGGAAGACAGTTGTCAATGAGTCAAACTGAGCCTGTGAGGTCAGCCTGTATTGTTCTGGTTTCATTTTTGTTGCTGTGAGAAATGCCATGATAGAAAGCATCTCGGGAGGAAGAGGTTTATTTCAACTTACAGTCCATCATTGCAGGGAAGTCCAGGCAGGAATTTCACGCAGACAGTCACCTCACATCCACAGTGGCAAGCAGAGAGAAATGAGGGCGTGGTGCTCACTTTCTCAGCTTTCTCTCCACTCATACCCAGTCAGGAGCCCCTGCCTAGGGAATGGTGCTATCTACACTGGGCTGAGTCACCCTGCACTAATTAACTTAACAAAGACACTCTCCCACAGACAGCCCAACCTGATAGGCAGCCCCTCACTGAGTGACTGTGGGTTGTGTCAAGTTGACAGTTAAAGCTAACCATCACATATATAGTACAAGGTATTTCAGTGAAGCATGGCGTGCGTCAATGGTGGTTGTTAATGATGAAATTATCATTGAGATTATCTGTCAGCCGGATATTTGTTGGAAGAAAACTTTTACCCCTCATCAAAACCAATTTCTACACATAGTAACTACTGTAAACCTAGAATTAACAATGTGGGTAAAAAGTGATTTTTGTGGTATTGGGCATGGGATCATATCCTTTACCACCAAGCTGCAGTTGTAGCTCTAGCCAATAGGAACAATTCAAAGTTTGAAATTGAAGTATATTTTGAGTATGAAGTAAAGCCTAAAAGCCATATGGAAAAAGATGAAGTTTGATAGCATGAAAATTTTAAGAAGTATTTTTGTATGGCAAAATGGTATTACATGAGATCAGCTTGACAAATATGATGACATAAATAACAGATGAATAATCACTCTTAAGATGTTTTTATATGTATGTGTTTGCATGTGTGTCTGTGTACCTGTGTGTGGGCCCAAGGAGGCCAGAAAGAGGACACTAGATTCCCTGGAGCTGAAGTTTCAGGTGGCTGTGAACTCAGGTCCTCTGCAAGAGCACAAGTGTTCCTAACCACTGAACCATCCCTCCAGCCTCGATATCTAATATACACAGAACTTTGCAGTAATTAATGTGGACTTGTAAGGAACACTGACAAAGCTAGCATTGGCAAAGAGATCCGAGAAAGGAACACATTCATGTCTACCAATAAATTGGCAAAGCTTGCTTTCCCTTCTTGGTGTTTTCATAAAAATTGTGGCCTTCCCAAAATACATGACCCTCACAAAAAAAGTGTGTGAGCTGTTCTGGAAAGCACATGCAGGAAGCAGGAACTCATCCACAGCCCCCCATCCAGAGCAGCTCAAGCTGTATTTGGTGACCCCATAAGTATTCTTCCTTGTTGATGTGTAGAAAGACAACTGCATTAGCGAGCAGGTAAATAATAGAAAGGGCATTGCTGGGCAATATAGTGCTTGCCACCCTGGGGATACTGAGGCAGGGGGATCTGAGTTCCAGGCCAGCCTGGACTACATACATGTCAAAAGAAAAAAAAAAGTCTTTTAAAAACGTACACTTTTAAATGTCTTTGATTTTTGCCAGGAGTAAAGCAAGGCTCAGTGTCATGTGACATCACGATTAGCCCTGTTCACGGGGTGTCCCACACCAGGCCAAATCCCCTTGGTGCCCTGGAATTACCAACTGAAGTTCCACATGACAGGCACGGGTTATATGTGGGTCTTCAGGTGAGAAGGCCAAGGCAGGAGGAGGGTATACAACTTGCCTGGAAGTCCAAGCAGTGCTGTTCTGGGTCCCAGCTGTCACTCCCCCTTCAGAATTGTCAATCACAAGTGACAGGAAGACACCCTGGAACTTTGGATGTCTGTTTCCCACACAACATATTAAGTCCCTGAAGGGACATTAACACAATGAGAGGGATGGAGAAAGCCAGGCGGAGCTGAAGAGGTGGTGATGCATTTGAAGGGGCTGGCTGGCTGCCGTGGAACTTGATGACAAGTGACAAGTGACTGACACTTGCTGTGTTTCTTCTGCCCATCCCCCACTCCACAGATTCTGCTGTCTATATTGTGTTCTTGGAGTTGGTAATATCTTTATTATGTACAGTTATGGTAATCCCCAGATGTCTGGCCTTTGTTTCATACCCAGATATATTTGGTGGCCACCAGTGGAGTTGGGTGCTTTGGCATTCTCCTTTTTACTTTGATTTAGTTTTTGCTGGCTGGATTTCATTGTCTGGTAATTTCCTCAAGAAAGGCTCATGGGTGCTCCCCTTCCCTGTGTCCACTCCTAGGAGACCATGTCCCTTGGATGGCCAGTTCTGAGCATCTCACCATAAGGGAGTGGATGCTTTTGGCTCCCACCGCTCTTGTGAGGACTCTGAGGTCATCCTGACGTCGTTTCTGCATATTTGGGTGTTCCCAAATATGTTCTTATGTTGAACCTTGAAATGTAAAAGCCAAGCTGAGCTTTGTCCTAGCTTGGAGCATTTTGATGTCACTTCTTGAAACATGGGTGTATTTTTCAGATGTCCAGTCTGCAAATATCCTGAGTCATAACACAAAACCACACACACCTTGTCTCTCCCTCTTCTCCTCATTCCAGGACTGCCCTCTCCCCCTCTCTCACGCCTTCACTACTACTCCCAGGTGTCCTTGTATTGAGTCTTCTTTGTCCTGATGGCCAGCACAGTCCCTACTCCAGGTTACATTAACTCTGCTTTGAGATTATTCCAAGTCCCATCTTTTTTTGTTTGTTTTCGGTTTCGTTTGACTTTTTGAGACATGGTTTCTCTGTGTAGCCCTGGCTGTTCTGGAACTCATTTGGTAGACCAGGATGGCCTCAGACTTACAGAGATCTACCTGCCTCTGCCTCCTGCGTGCTGGGAGTCAAGTTGGGCATGCGCCACCACTGCCTGGCTTGACTCCCATCTTTTCACTCATTTCTTTCATGATTTTATTACCTTCTGTAACAATCATTTTTATTGTCGTGATCTCATTTCTAACACACATACCCCTTCCCTCTTTTACTATTAATCATTTCAGGGAGGGCACCTTTTTAATGAGTCCCTAGTTTTATCTTGTTCATTTTTATGACATAACATTTTTGCAAAAGATGATTATTTGATGTCCCTTGCAAGCTGGGGTCCTTTGTCTCCTGCTTGCTATGTATTTGTCTCCTGCTCTGCCCATTCTGCAGTGTGTTGGCACAATTGCAAAGGCCTTTGTTGTTACCCTGTTTGTGCTTAGGATATGATCTAATACAGCTGCATTAGCACCTTCCTGTTGCAGGCTTCATCATCACCTCCCCCTGCAGTGTCTGTCATCGCCACCTCTGCAATGTCTGCATCACCTCCCCCTGCAGTGTCTGTCACCTTCACATTGTCTGTCATTACCTCCCCCTGCAACAATGTCACCTTCCCCTACCCCTGCATGGTTTCTGTCATCACCTCCTTCTGCAATGTCTGTGTCACCTCCCCGTGCACACTATCATCACCTCTCCCTACACAGTGTCTGTCCTCTGAATGCTAGTATGTCACATGTTCTCCTGTGATTGTGTTTGGGTTGTATCACTAGGTACCGCTATGAATGTTTATTTGTATAGCTGTGGCACTCAGTGTTGTGTGCCCTGGGAATCCCATCCAGGCATGGAGTTGCTGTCTCAGTTGATCCTCTAGAACATGATTCTGTTTTAACGAAGGATCACCCTGTTGCCCACGATCTCTTGCACACCCACCATAAGCATATAGAGTTCTGTTCCATGGGCCTCCCTACCTGACACAGTTAGACTTGTTCACATTTGCCTGTCTGATGCAGCCTCCACTGGGATTTTGAGGCTTGTTAGTCTTTTTCCTAAGACACGGAGCATCTTTTTATATTTTGTAACTTTTGTTAGAACATTTTTCCCCCTGTAAAACATATCCACTTTTAGATATATTGACTAACATGTGCCAAATCTGTGCTGCCTCCTGGGTTACTATTAGTCAACCAAACCAGCCTAAGTACTTCTATCTTGAAGTCCTCTAGTCCTGGTGAAGAAGAAGGATGAGAGACAACACACACAGTTGTAAGCATAACATTGAGTGCAGACACAGAAAAGGACAGTGTGCTGGGGGGAGATAGTAGAGTCTTCTTGAGATGGGCACAGGGAGATGTTCATAGAGTCACTTTCTTACTCAAGATGGAAGCTGGCTGTTGTAATTTAAGAAAAGTGGCTTGCTTGAGAGAAAAATGCCATGCAACAGGGTTCAAGCACAGGGTTTTCTTTTTGTTTTTTGGTTTTTTTTGGGGGGGGGAAGGGATCATTAAAAAGGGGGAAGGGAAGTGGGGAGACTGGCTCCTGATGGGAGCAGCAGGAGAGAGGAGAAAGGAATGGGGGAGAGAGAGGAAAAGAGGGAAAGAGGAGAGGGAGGAAGAAGGGAACAGACAGAGAGGGGGAGAGAAAGAAGGAGAGAAGGGTTGGAGGTGGGCAAGGCCCCTTTAAAAGGGAACATAGTGAATGTGCATAGGACGTGCTCTTAGTGGCTGCAGCTGAGAGCGTATCCTGTCAGAACCCCAAGGACAGGCCAGTGCAGATGCCTGAATACTAACAGCTGTAACTCTTGCCAGTGATGCCATGGTATGCCATGTGTCACCCCAAAGAGCTGATATGCACTGGTTCTTATGAAAATGTTTCAACACATGTTGCTAAGTGACAAAAGCCCCTGTCCATCCTGAAAGTGTGACATATTAGCCATTTGTAAAATTTTCTCTGTAATTATGACTGCATCGGAGCTTCCAGAGTGCAGACCTGGGAGTGTGAGATATCCCACCCATACTTCTGGTCCTTTTGTGTACTTTGCTGAATTGCTTGTATTTTTCTTACACAAAACCTTTAAACAGTGAGGTTCTTTTTGGCTGGGGGGGGGATTCATAAGTCACCTAGATACTCTTTCTGTGTCACTCTAGAAGCTCTTGGTGGTGGCTGCACATGCTCTGAAAAGCCTTGAAGCCCACATACCTTTGAAATGTTAAGATGGATTCCACCAGTGGCTTAAGGTTTTAATCCCCACTCTCTGGAGGCAGAAGCAGGCAGATCTCTATGAGTTTGAGGCCTGTGTGGCCTATATAGTGAATTCTGGACCAGCCAGGACTGTATAGTGAGTGAGACACAGTTTTAAAATATAAAAAAAGATTTTATTAGCAGAGTAAATGCATGAAAACTTGAAGAGCATTATGTCACAAGCTGCTCTTGTTTCTCTGGGTGAGTCTTCTCCCTGGCAGGGGCTCAGTTGAAGCTCTCTCTCTCATGGAAGGAGCAAGTGAGCTCACTAAAATTTGTGTTAATTCTTTCTTGGAAGCTTAGGCCCTTTCTAAGAGACTTGGATCTTTAAATATTTTAGAATTCTAAAATGTAAGTGTGTGTGTGTGTGTGTGTGTGTGTGTGTGTGTGTGTGTGTTCTCTCCTCCACTGTATTGACTCAGGGTCTGTCACTGTGTTGTGTATACCAGGCTCTCTGGCCAGAGACAGTTTTCCTGTCTCTGATACTTCCCACCTCTCTGTAAGAGTGCTGGAATTACAAGCGCATGTCACAGAATATGGCCCTTTATCTGGGTCTCAGGGATTGTACTCTGATTGAGGGGATTTGTGCATCAAGAGCCCCTCCCAGCCCTTTAATCCCTCCAGGTATTTTAAACAATCTCCAGTACTGCTATGTCCACTCAGGAGCATCTCCAAACTTACTTCATATTCCCTGGGCAGATGGAGACACCTGTACATGTCTGACCATTTCCAGGCGCCTTTAAAGAAAGCTCTCTCTTATACCAAATTGGTGATTATTCTAGTTTTCATTTAGCAGGAAAAACTGAACTCAGACAAACTGAGGTGGTTGAAAATAAATATAGTTATCAGCCAATATTAAATAGCAGTGTTCCATAAGTGATGACTAGCATCCACAGTGTTTTTATGAGTCATGCAAACCAGCTTTGAACCAACTTCACTGCATCCTTAGAGTCCCAGAAAAATCCTGGTTTACTCTTTTATAATTACCCCCTTTTAAAACCACAATTTATGAGGTGCCCAGTATCTATTATGTATATATAATTCTTATATTAATCAATTTCCATACCACCAAAGCAACTTCTATTTTTAATAAAATGCTCCCAGCTTGCAAATCTGATGGCTTGACTTCTCAGAAGTGTGTGGCATGGGCTCTCGGTAGGGAATGCTGGAAGCATATTAAGATGCCCCACACTGGCAGTGCTGCTGAGCATTTTTAGTGCTACAGTCAGAGGTAAAGCCATCGTCCTTGCTGTCCCTCCCTGAGAAACTTGTCAGCAGTGAGCAGGGTGCTGTTTGTAATGAGCTCATCAATTAAACATTTGAGGTTCAGTACATGCCACAGTAAACTTTTTGATCAGTTTTCAGAGACGGAGATGTGGGGAGGTTTTGGTTTAAGAAGAAAAACAAAAATGGCAGGGTTGTGTGGCTCCAGGATGTTGACTTGGCTGGATGCAACACTGGAATTTTAATCCTTGCAGCTTTCAAAGTCTTATGAAAAGATCGAAAAAGCCCTGAGCGCAGGAGACCCCTCCAAAGTTGGCTACGTCTCTCTGAATTACCTGAAGGTTGTCCTTGACACTTTCGTATATCGACTACCAAGAAGGATTTTTATCCAGTTAATGAAAAGGTAAGAATCCATTGTTTCTTGACAGGTTTTCCCTCAGTTGTCATCCGGGACAACACAGAAGAACCTCGTTTATTTTTTATTTAGTGCTTTAAACTTGGTGCCACGGAGATTTCCCCACATGCAAAGGCAAAGAGAAAGCCCTACAAATCCACTCAGAGCTCAGTTCCCAGCTTTGAGAGCCCCCAGGTGCCTGCTGGTTACTGCCTTTGCATCTCTGCTCATTTGCCTCAACCCTGATGTCTGAGAAAATAAACATGAAGCCTTCCATTTCTGTTTGCACCTCCAATAGATGCAAACTCTTTATAATGACAAGACAGCTTCATACCAAACATAATCATCACTGTTATTAATAAATATCTATTCAGGGCCCAAGTGCCACTGCTCAGCTCCTGTTTTCTTTTTCAGTATCAAGAGTCAGAATGTAAATCATTCTGCATATTGCCATTTGTGGCTCACCTCATTTCTCAGTTAGGTTTCTGTTGCTGTGATAAAACACTGACCAAAAGCAACTTGGGGGAGGAAAGTGTTTACTTCATCTTCAGTGTCAAGGTCACACTCCATCATTTAGGTTAGTCAAGGCAGGAACCTGGAGGTAGGAACTGAGGCAGAGGCCATGGTCCCTAAGGTGAGCTCAGTCTGCTTTCCTATTGCACCTAGGAACACGAGCCTAGGGATGACACCACCCATAGTGAGCTAGGTCCTCCTACATCAATCAAAAAAAGGCCCACAAGCTAGTCTGGTGAGGGTGCTTTCTCAATTAAAGTTCACTCATCCAAAATGACTCTAACTTGTGTTAACTTTACATAAAACCCACCAGCACACCTTGACTCACTGTTAATCTGCAGGCTTCCTTCCCACCTGTTCCTTTTATACAAGGCTAGGTTAAATGTTCCTTGGAGTTTCTCACAGCCTGGATTTGGTTGTTATAACCCACAATACCATTTCCTAAGTCCGCTTTCCCTCCTGCAGCTACCCTCCCCTAAACTGGCACCCATGAGGACCCAAGGCTGTGGTTTTATTTATCAGCTTCAGGCAAAACTTCTCCACAGACTGGTGAGATGTGTGGGCTGCCTGTCTATCTATTCATGTTAGCTGTCTCTGTCAATCAGACATAGATCCCATAGTTCCCTAGAGACCATAGGGTGGTAATATTCTCTTTGTTCTTCTACTGTGTTACAATGCTTCTGTGATGAGTGTTGTCTCTACAGTTAGGTAAGAAAGCCAGGGACTAGGGAGACAGCTCACTGTGGAAAGCACTTGGCATGCAAGCACAACTACCTGAGTTCAGATCCCCAGGACCCATGTAAAACTGGACTCAGGAGCACACATCTGTAACTCGGCTCTGCTGTGGTGAGATAGGAGGACACAGAGGAGTTCTGGGAAGCTGAGGTCTTCCTTATGCAGCCGTGAACAAGACACTGTCTCCAACAAGGTGGGAAGTAAGAACTAGCACTGGTGACCTCCACATCTCACACAAATCAAACGGCAGCAGCAACAAAACCAAGTACAGTGCTCAAAGAAATGCCATTGGCTTGGCCTTTCTCTGGCTGCTTTTCAAAATAAGGAGTTGGTCCACCAGCCTCTTCCACAGAGAGGAATGGGAATCTTTTCCTAATAACCTTTTCTTAATTATTCTGAATTCTCAAATTTAAACGTGTTTCATACATTCTAATTCACTAGTTATTTTCCCCTCATGCTTTCCTCCCTCTCTTTTCTTCTTCCTCCTTGTTAATGTCCTCAAACATGGTCTCACTTTGTAGCCTAGACTGGCTTTGAACTTGAAACCTATCTACCTCAGCCTCCTGAGTGCTGGGATAACTGGCTGCACCTCCGTACCCAGCGGGTTACAGTCATACTTGTTGAGACTCCATTTTTGCTCTTGGCTGGTGGGGCTTTTTCACACTGCTGCCCGTGTCTTGTTGCTGAGGCCAGCATGGACTCTAAGAGCCTTTTTGCCTCCTGATATGATAAAACACCCAGTCTCTTCTACCCCTTGCCTGACACCAGGATTGGCAATCTCTGTAAGGAACCCTTGTGCCAATGGGAGTGTGGCATATAGACACAAAAATATTGCTCACAATAGTCTTGTTTTCTTGTGCAAGTCACACAAAGTGAGATGGAAGCAAATGGAAAGAGTATCCTGTGTAACTATAAGTGGGGAAAGCCATCTTGAGCTTGTCTAGAGAAGATGCCTGAGAGCAACAGAAGAGCCCAGCACCACACTTGGGCTGGATTAATTCTGGGGTACTCTGATAGCACCATGCATGACAGAGAAAAACCCCACCTGGAATTTCCAAAGCAAGTAACAAATTGAGCCCAGTGAGTGGCTCTGTGGCTCAGGAAACAGCTCTGTTGATGACCAACCTCAGGACTTATTTCTTAGATAGCTAGAAGCCATATATATAGAGCCCCTTCTTTGCCTCAAATTTCATAATAGTAATGTAACAGAAATAATGGAAGCAGCTAGAAGATGTCCCTCCCCCTTGCCCAACACTCTGTGTTGCCCCACACCCTCATTCACACGCATAAGAAACTTTTACATTTGTAGTCAGGTACACCTACAGTGTTGCTTTGATTTTAAAAATAGAAATGGCTGTCTTAGACTCCTTTCCTATTGGCTTCATATTCTTGGAAATTATCATTTTAATGAATGCATGAAATGTCATTCCGCTAACATTTACCAAGCGCTTTCCTCTGCCAGACACTGTGCTAGGTGCTAAAAATGCTGAAAGAGACAATGAATAGATCCCAGCTGGGGTGACTTGCCAAGTGATGAGTACCTTGGGTACATAGAATGAGCATGTGAGGGATGCAGGTGGCCATCATGTTCTCTTGGTAGAGCCTCTTCTTCAGGGACCCAGATTTTTCTGAAGCCCTTTTTGTACTTATCCAGAATTCCCAGGGGTACAGCACCAAAAACAAGAGCAAAGTGAATGTCCCAGTGTCTGTGTCATGATTTAAATATGGGTTAGCATCTCCAGCTTGAAAATCCATATTCCAGGCTGTGGAGATGGCTCAGTGGGTAAAGGCAATTGCTGCTCAAGCCTTATGAACGGCCTGTGTTCAGTCCCTGGAACCCACCTACAGGTGGATGGAGAGAGCTGACTCAGCAAGGTTATATTTTGACCTCCATACATGAGGCATGCCCCCCCCCATATACACAATAATACATTTCAAAAAGGAAATCCAAATTTTGAAGTGCTTCTGAATCTGGAACTTTCTGAGCTCTGATGTGACATCCAAGGGTCTGTCCCCAGGTCCTTCACTATATATGGAAGCATTCCAAAACTCAAAGAAATCCCAAATCAAACATTTCAGATATGGAACAGCTACCCGGTGTGACACCCATGTCCTCTATCGTAGACCTGAAGGTGCATGTGTGACCATCTCTCACCAAAATCATGGATTGCCAGTCTTATCTAGCATTGAAACACTGTAGTAATGTCCTACCTAATGTTTGTCAGGTGTCTTCTACTAGCCAAGTTTTTTAGACAGGGTTTCACAAAGTTGCTCTGGTTGGCCTCAAACTCAGAGTCCTCCTGTCTCAGCCTCTTGAACCCTGAAGCTGTAATCATGCACCACTATGTCTAGCTTTTTTTTTTTTTTTCTTCTTTTCTCTCTTTCTCTTAGTCTAGCTAATAGGAGTCTCAGTTGTTTAACCTTTCTTAACCACTGAGCCATAGCTCCAGCCCTTGTTTAACTTTTCAAAAACTCAACTTTTACCTTCAGGATCTTTTTTTCTAGACTTGGATGTATTTCCCCTCTTTGCTGCTGATTCTGTGTCTGTGGTTCTTTTTAGTGGTTTGTTTGGGGTTTTGGTTTCAGATTAACTTGTCAAAGATTGGAGATATTTTCTTCTCCTTCCCTACCCCCCTTCTCTGTATTCAAGTTGCTAAAATTCCTTCTGTGTCCCACCCTCTCCTAAGGTCCCAAGGACAAACTAAGGCATGATTTTGCCAAAGTTCACTCTGTGAAACCAATGAGTTTATCAGGCTTCCTACAGAGAGGTTACATCGGGTGTGGGTGTACCTACCCCAACAGGAGGGACCTGGACAACCTTTACCTGGCAAGGATGAGGGCTTCCCCTTACCTGCATAGATGAAACCCCCTCCACCAGTCTTTCCTATACACTCTAGCTCTCCCATGGGTATGTTCAGTTAAGGCAGAGTTGCCAGCAACAGGTGGTAAGGAGGCTGGGAACTCAGGTGAGGGTCTTATAACCCTCCACCAGGGTGCAAACAGTCAACAAGCCCAGCTGGGAGGACCTTTTGAAAAAGGGTGCAGCTGAATTCCCCAAGATGGCTGTTGTATGGCTCAGAGGATAGACTGGGACAACAGTTCCAGCACGGGCACACACACGTGGAAGTCAGAGGGCAGTTAGGGAATTGGTTCTCTCCTCCCACCTCCCCAAGCAGGGTTCCTCTTGTTCTGGCCGCTGCACAGCATGTTGCATGCCGGCTGGCCTTCTTGTAGGCTGAGGGCACACGCCCCTGAGTGGAGTTTCTGCAGGACCACCCAGCTGTCCTTGTAGAACAGCATCCCAGCAGTGTACATTGCCATCACAAGCTGTGAGTGTCCCAGTTACACTTCCTCTCCTGAATTACACATTAACGTCATTTTAAATATTGATCATGTATGAGGCACAAAGTGGTGGCCTGTTATTGTCTTAATTTGTCTTCCTGGGGCTGACACTGAGGCTAGGCGCCTCTAGGTGCCAACCTGCTGTGACTCTGCCTCCCTCGGTGGGAATCTTCCTTATGTCCTAATGGGCTGATGGCCTAACAGAAGGATTTAGAGTGAATTTTATCACCTTTGGGTTTAATTCTTTATAATCATGTATGCATCAAAAGAGAACCTGTCTAAGAGCTCTCTCAGCTTGCTATTTCCTTTTAATTAATGCGATACTTTAGCATCTCAAAGTTTGTATTTTAATATAATCAAACACATCCATCTCCTCTTGTTCAATGTCTTCTGTCATTTAAAATTTGTCACTCATCTCA